TGCGTGCAATTTTTGAAACTGTATTTCAACATTTTGGTATTCCAATGGGTCGGCGAATTGTTTTAAAATCGCTGCATTTTCAGTTTACTAGAATTATGCATTGACGATTTCCTTGGATAAGTGGCTGCGTAGTTACAGATAATCAATTTTTCTTTACCTGTATGTTCCTAATTATTTTGAACTTATTTTCAAGCAGAATAGACCGTTTAAGTAATTGCATTTCATTTACTTGAAAGAAAAGTAATGATCAATTAACGATCGCACAGTCAAGATAACTTTAAGTGATCTTCACTTCTCATTAAGCAAATGGCATATTTCAAGAAATCACTTTTCAGCGGGTAACTTAGCGTATATTTTTAAATCCATTATCTAAGTGGGAGTTTGGAATGAAAAATTTGTTGGTGCTTATTTTACTGCTTTTATTATCATTAAAAAAGGGAAAAGAATGTTTTATAGTAAGGGAAACTTTGAAAGAGCAAATGAAGCCTTAAGGGTATGAAACATTCGCCCCACTGCTTGGGCACTTTTTACTCCTAAAACGATGCTTCGTATTGGTTCTGCTGGCTCTAGCAACGATCTGTTGGGTCATTTGTTGCTAGGTGGATTTTATGTTTGCGACTCAGAATAAAGCATCTCCACTCGAATAGTATTCGTGCAAAATAGTTTTTTCTTAATGCAGAGTTTGTTTGAAAGCATTTGAGCAGAAAAGGAATAAATTACTTGCCGCACGTCTCATTACCGATTATAGCATGATCTTGATTTCAAGTAGGTGGAAATTTAGGAAGTTAAGAAATATTTTTAAAACGGTTTTTAATCGAAACTCTGCGTAATCACAAGGTGTTTGCATATGCTACCTTTGAGGAATTCATGTCTTTCCGGACCATTAACTTAATCAATATTGGTGTGGTAGTGGGAAATATATGCATTATGGTGCTATAAGGAGGCGAGAAAAGTGGGTTCAACAAAAGAAAAGCCTATCAAAGTTGAATAAATAAACGAGAGATGAATAAATTCTCAATTTAAATTAGTTTTAAGGTTACCTTTCGTGAAAATTTCGATAAATTTAAACTTATACGTTCGGATAAGAAATAAGCTACTGATTGTAGAGTCGTGAAGAGAGTAACAAATTCTCAATTCCAGTTAAGATCTCAATAAGTTCAAATAAAAGAGACTGAAAGCATGAATTTCTTCCAAAACTTTCATTTATTTATCATAATAGGAAACTTTGATGGTGGTCAGGTCTAAGTTTTAAATTTAGAACAAAATCGAAATTTTCTTTAAGCTAAGGAAGAAAGGAAAGATACTCCATGTTTGAATGCATCAAGATTTTGGCGAAAATCATAAAAGACCTCGCTGGTCTGTTTCATCATACGGGCTAATTAACTCCAGAGAAGGGAGTGGGGGCAATAGTCAATCCGTCAAATTTGGAGATAGAGTGTGCGGTGACTAAAGTGAAAGGAAGGAAAATTTTGATATCTATTACTGACAGGCTCGAAAAAGCATAGATGGGGTCAAGATTCTGCCTATTAGAGACACGCCTTTTACTATTTAACAAAAGTGTAAACGATATTAAAATTTAACCTCAAAATTTTTTCCATTTAGCGTATTCTTTCACACCACTCGCTGAATCACTGATAGAATGAAGAATATTATGATTATCACGAGAATCATAAATATCCCTATTGTAAAAATTTTGAGAAAATAACAAAATAACAGTGAAATACAAGTCTCTGAGATTATAAATACACAAATTGATTATTGAGAAATGGGTCCCCCAAATAATGAGATTGAAAGATATGAAGTGTAACTGGTATGAAACTAAAGAAGTCCGATGAGCACAATTGGGTTATTCGCCTTTTTAGCAAAATTATGTCCTAGAATCCTTTGCTCTTCGTAAAACTCTGACTGTAACGCTTGCAACCTTTTTGCGAATTTTGTGGCAAATGCAGACATAAAGAAAAAATTAGGCCGAATAAAACTTGAATTAAAATGGGAAACATTACTCTAAATGTCTAAACAACGATCAGTGCGACGACGGAGCCAATAGTCTGCTCAAGGAATTCATATGGACGTCTAACAAAAAAACGAACAGAAAGAAGAGTGAGTACATTCTGTTATAGGTCTTGTAAAAAAATGAACTTGGAACCTGAATCGAAAGTGAAGGCTGTCGAAATGACCAAAAAATTAGATTTTTATGGAAAGCAAAGATGAATGAAGTATTCCATTACGGCTATCCGAAGCGAATGTCATCAACCCAGAGAAAGGAAATGGGGAGGTCATACGGAGGAAAGGGAACAGTGACAGTAATCTGAAAGTTTTTCTCGAGAGCTTCAAAACGATTGCTCGTTGAAGACTTAATCAAAATCCGTAGTTGACATAGTAATGGAAATAAATAGCAGCTCGAGGCTGAATCAATCAAAATATGTAATATAAAATGATTAAAAGAACTACGAGAGGCCACGAGCGAGAATGTGTACATGGACGACTGGCTTAAAAGCATGTTCATGTTAAGACGAAGGATAGTTCTGATTCAGAACCACAATATGTGAGTCATCCTATCTGCTGCATTCATGAAAAATGTACTTCCCCAAATTCACTTTAGATACCCAGAAACAAGCTAAAAGCTAACTTCAAGAGGAGAATCATATATTGGCCGATAACGGATAACGGCATAGAACCGTCTTAGATATAAAAATCTATTGGTTAAGCGAGAAAAGGACAGTCGATGCTGGGTTGATTTACAAGTGTCTGACCAAAGTGAGAATAGAAATATAAACATACTAGGCATAATAAGTTGTTAAAGTAAATTAAGAGTATATTAAAGATGTAACTTTGAATATCACAACGAAATTTATATTCAATTTCAATTTAATGCACTGTTGGAAATGAAATTTATCATAGACTTTGTTTTGAGAAATGTTCTAATTTCTCAATAGTTTCATAACCCAAGTTAGGCAGTTTTAGGCTAAATTAATGCCTTTTCCGGTGTTCCTCTTCCCCAATATAAGAACACTTATGCTCACATTAATAGGAAGGGAAATGTGCTAATGATGTTATCATTTCCCTTAGTCCTCATCTTGCTTCGCAATCCGTGTAAGGGTGTGGAATGGGAATGTCTCAATGTAGCTGAACTAGGACCATACCCACAAATAATGTGAAAATATTTGCAATGGGGTTGCAAATTCTCCATGTGATATTTTGAAAATAAAATGGGTCTATCAATGATGCTTTCATAAATAAATAGTTAGACTGTACAGTTATGCAGCTGATTATAAGTATTTCTAAGCAGCAATAGAAGCTGGAATTAAATAATTTCAGGGACATTCAGTTAAAATAACCAAAACCAATAAATTATTAACCGAAATAAAAGTTTTTAAAATAAAATACCGTAGATATTGTGTGACGATTTGTATGTAGTCAAATGTTTTATTAAGTTCGCGGTCACAAGGATAGCATTTTTATATTTCGCGCAAACTGCTCAACCAATTGTTTCATTCCGCAAAAATTTAAAAGCGCTGATGGGTCGCTATCTTTTTCTACGTATTCACCGAATTTATTAATTTCCTAATGGAGGAATACAAGGATTCGTTTGCCGATAAAGCCCTTGACACAACTACCGATTGGGTTCGTTTGAAAGTTGAACGCGAGGGCGTCCAAGCTCGTAATATAATAAAGTACAATTTGCCATTTTCGGCGTCCCTACAGAGTTCTGCTCGCGCTTCTGCATCAACATGCCGTCATAAAAATTATAGAACGGAATCTCGAGCTTCTTCGGCTGGAAATTCTGTTAGTTTGAAGAGTCAAACTACCCCCAGTTCTGAGCAGTCGTCATCTCTCTCTTCTCGTGAAACGTCACAAAGACGTAGAACTCGAAGACGTCAAGATTATCGCACGCTCTATTGGGGACAAATGTTGGATACTTTGAAACGAACGATTGATGAAATTTATGCTGCTTGCGAGTTGGATGAAAGTGAGATAAGATGCAAGGAGGTTATCATGATTCTCAATAATAGCGAACAGGATTTCAAGTCGCTGATAGAAAAGATGTCCCTTTTGCAACAATTTGGAAATCGGTACATTTTACCTTCTTGAAGTGTATTATTTTTTCAGTAATGTGAATCTTATTCAAAAGTGTTTAACTTATACTGTAACACACTGAATTGCTTATTTTCTTTATTTTAAAAGTTGGTTGACACTATTGTCCTTTATTGATAACGTCTAGTTGTTAATCTAATGTTTTGATTTGTTATACGAAAACGTAATGCTAGTTACAACTAGGGAATCTTTCGTTTACTGTGTTGGATGTATTATTCGGTACTCTCAATTAATGGACTTCATAATATTGAAATCGAATTGAATTTCTTTTTAAATATCAATGTTGTTACAGGATAAATATTTTTCGTCATATTATAATGTCAATAAGAAATCATATTTACTAGCTAAATAGGCCAACTAAGTTTATATTTAAAGCTCGTCCTTTACTGAAAAGAGATCAAGTTCGTTTCCCAAGGAATGTGAGAGAGAAAAGGAACTCGTATTTATTCTAGTGGCTTTTCCATAAATCAAAATTAGCCTATTTGCCAACCCTTGGTGCACATAATTTTGCTAACTTCATCATATTCTCATTGATATGTTATCGTGACTAAGATTTGTAATATGATCACTTCTATTTTTAGTTTAGCTATGCATTAATGAATATTATCTGCTTGTTTCGTTCTCTATACAATCAAAAACTCGTCATATTTAGAAAATCAATCGTTTTTACAAAAGAAGTGCGAATGAAGAAATCGTGTTATCTGACTCTAATACTTTTAGATTAGCGCTATTAAATTAAAAGAAGACATTAGTGTTCACCATAACACACCAAAGAAAGTTATTAAAAATTCTTCTTTTACCTCATTTTACAGGAATATATTAGTAACTCTTATTTCCTTTCTAGACCAGCAAGTTTAGCCTGGGATGAGCGGAAAACCTCTCCCAGTCGCCTAATCACGCTTCAAATGCTTGCTGACCTTGACCTTTCACCTCCAACTATTATTTCTGGTGCTCCTTCGACTTCTGTATCGACCTCTAATGCTGATGCTCTGGCTTGGGGCTCTGATGAAGATGACCTACTCAATGATGATGATGATGATGATGATGATGAAGTGACTGCCCATTTTGACGATGCTATCAAATCAGTGGAGTCTACGGAGCGCCTGTTGAGAAGTGAGTTGGGTCGCGAGCAGGCTTCTCTTCGTCAGTTGGGAAGTAAAAAAACTTCTTCGAATTCGTCCATTAAAAATAGTGTCTCTGTAAGTAATACGCTTAGCATGAACACTCACCATAGATGCTATGCTTGCGCTGAAGCGTCACGTCGTTCAGTTGCTGTAGAAACTGAAAATATAGGCATGGAGCCTGGAGAGCTGTTTAGTAATACCTTTGCTGATTTGCTGACTTCTGGAAGGCCTAGAGTTCTAGGTAGAGGTGTTCAAATGCATGAAAAGCTGCTTTCACAGAATCGAGGAAGGTTAGTTTTCTTATGGACATTATTTAGTAGTATAATGAAAACGCTATTTGAGTTATCTCATATTACATAGATGTGGAAAGTCGATACAAGAAATCGAAGCCAAGCAGGCTCGCGCTAGATTCCTACGTCAGAGACATCTTTTGGAGCGATCTAACAGAGTTCGTGAACTTGGCAAAAAGGTTAATTTCACCACTTAAATTATACTATAGCAATGTTCGCACAAATTGCCTAATCTACCCTAATTTTTTTAGGTTGAGGAGGTGCGAAAGCAAAAACTTAGGCTGATTCAGCAAAGGCGAAATTTCCTCGAGAAGCGTCTTTTGGTGGCAGAAAAGAATAGACGGGCTGAATTAGAACGAAGGATTTTGAAAGCCCACGACGAGGAAATTAAGGGCCGAGAAATCGCCTTCATTCAGGTATGCACAGGATTTTAAATACTTCTACTTATACCACTTAATTTAAATGAATAAATAAGTTAACTATTTGTCTTTTAGAGTTTAGAAGCGGAACAAAAGCAGCATACCATTTTCGCAAAGCATGAAATTTCTTGTGCTCGTTTGAAGGAGCGTGCGGAAAATAGACGAAGACGTCTTGAAGAAAAGGCTGAAAGAGAGGAGGCTGCAAAGGTGGTTAACCAATTTATGTTCTGAATTTCTTAAAATCCACCTACTTTATCAACCATGAAGGGAAACCTCTCATTTGGTAAGGGTAGATGCAGTTTCTTAATAGACTTCTGACTTCTGGTGGCTGTTGCTATTTATTCTTCTGCTCTTAATGAATTGTGTCTTGTTTGTAAAGCATGACTACTCTGTTGCAATCAAGGAAAGTCGGGTTTCTTTCTCAATGATCAATGCGCCACCAGATCTAGTTAGGCTAGAGTTGGTTCGGACCCTAGTTGAGAGAGTTTGAGAGATGTAGAGCCATCTCCAGTCTATCAACTATTTTTTTTCTGAAAAGACATTAAAATTACCGGAGGAGCTGATATTAAGGCAATTTTTATTATAGTTGACATAGATTTTGCTTTCTAAATTACGCACTACTTTAGGAATGAATGCATTTAAATGATTTGTTTTATTATAGCTTCGTAGAATTGAGTTAGAAGCTTTACGTCTGGCGAGGTTGGATGAGTTGCAGGCTCGATGGCTTTCTCGCGCCCATGAGATAGAGGCCCGTGGTGAGCAGACTCGATTGGTGCGTCGAGCCGCAGCAAGAGAGCGCGAAGCTCATCGTGAAATGAAATTGGCTGCTCTGGAGCAACAACAGCGCCAACACATTGAGGCATTGAGGTCGAAAATTCTCAGGAAGGCAAGTTATTGCTCTTAAACAGAATTGTTCTAGGCTGCTTGCAATCTATGCTAGCAGTAAGACGCATCGGTTGGAGCTCATGTAATGGGACTGCCATTTTTTTATATCAGTTTTATCTAAGCGAATGTCTATGAAAACAGTATTCAACAAAACTTCGCAATTTCTAACTTATTTTGAGCTTATTTTGAGTATATATTTCGACGTGGACTTGTTTTTTTCTCTCTCAATACGAGAGAAACGACTTGTCGGGCTTTTTATCGCCATACTTTTGCTCTAATCCGCTTGGCTCCCTTTTATTATATCTCCGAGAGCTTGTGTCAGTTGTAAGGTTATTAACTTCTCAATGATGTCGTTGTTGCGTAACCTTTGCTCAAAGTACTTGCTAGGAGGAGACTACGTTTTTGTAATAAATGGGGTAGTTGAGCCAGTGTTTTCAAACTTCTCCCATTTTCACATCAAATTGAATATGGGCGGCTATGAATGTTCACTTCAGAAGAAACCATAGTGACATCTGCCCTGTAACTAGTTACTAGGAAAGTATGTTTGAGAATCATCCATTTAAAAATGGGGTCTATTCCGGCAAGCGGTTGAGTAGTTATTTTTTTTGCGGTTCTTTTTAAAATTCTGATGTCTTCTTTTTTCCATCAGCAACGCGAATGTGAACGTCGTCATCAGGAGACCCTGAGTGGAATTCGGAGAAAAGCTCTAGAAATGGCCACTCCTCAACAGCACGATTCAGCCACCACCTCCATTCCCCTTCGCAATGGTAATAAAAACCAACGCGGATGGTGTCGTCTCTGTCACTCGGAAGTAGATTCTCCTGCTCATTTCGACTCACAGGGTCACAGAACTGCTCTTTTGATATCTTTACCTGCTTGTCTAAGGCGAGCCGATCGGTGGGATATTGATAGGCTGAATGCCGCCTGCTTTGTGGAAATTCCCGTTTCTTCTAAGCATTCTGGAAACCACAAGGAAGCATTTTTTCACCTTCATCGTCGTGCGAGGTCGACTGAAGTTGAACGTCAACGGTTGCTCGTTAAACGCCTGAACGTAATCCGACAGCGGGTGAATTCAAGGCAACTCTAGTTTTCTGATCCAACTGATGCGCGTCCCTTGAAGAAAATGAGTAATCGCATTTTTTGCTTTTTTTAGAAGTCTGCTATACCGCAAGGGCCCCCTTGAAAACCCCAAATTAGCTCCTGCTTGTAAACAAAAGGCTCAGTCAGTTTTCTTTATTTTACTGATTTTGATTATTTAGACTTCATAAGCTGATAAAAGAAGCTAGAAGATATTCTAATTTACCCGAGTCTGGACCTTGGGTTGCGTCAAGAGTGGCAGCAATGGAGAAAGTCCTACATGCTATTCGACGATTGGTTAACGATGAGGTCAGTCTTTTAGGGCTGTCTACTTATTTATATAAAAGTAAGTGAGTTGACATTTAGCTCATTCTCTTTTAGGTGTCGCTGTTATGCTGTTTTCATTTTGATTTAACCTCTGTTCTTGTGAGTTTGATTGATTTAACCTTGTGTCAGAGGTATTTTGACTTTCCAATGGTACCCGCTAGGTAAGATTCCTTGAATAAAATAAAATAATTACTTATTTCTAGAACCGTAAATCTTGCGTGTGGTTTGTTAAAGTCGATTTGTGAGGGTGTTCCCTTGGTATCCTGGCATTTATGTCTCAACGGAGATCTTACCGTTCTGATTGACTGTATAACTGTCAAACTTGCTGTAAGCCTCATAAATGTGCCTAATACTGCTTTCTTTTTAGCGTTTAGAAGCAGTAGACGAATGGAGCGGATTGAAAAGTTCGGTTTCCAAGAGTCGGCAATCAGATGATATTGAATGTATTAGATCCATCTTCTCTTGTCTTCTTGTCATTTCAAAAGGTCTTAAATTGAATTCACCGCCATCAACTGCACCAATTGTTGGTTCATCCTCAAAGAAAGCGTCAAATTTCACGACTGCTTGCCTTTCGGTAACATTGCATTATTTAGTAAATGGGATTGTGTTTACCACTTACATTTATTCGTAGAAATTTTACTTATTCCATTTTGCAATTAGTCCGGAACAAATGCTTGGAATTGAATTATGATTTGATTCATTGCTCTGAATAATGACAATTCTTATTGTTGTTAATTCCTCCTCCTTAGGACTTTGTTGCGTATGCAGTGAACTCTGGCTTGATGGAAGTATTAACCAATTACCTTTCTTCGCCCAATTTGAGTGCCCAGTTAGAAACCGCCGTGGGGGAGAAAATCAGCGCGGGAATGGAATTCGTTCTACTCATTTTGGATCTGTTGACAGCTCTTGTTCGATTAATTCCCCCAAACAAGTTCAGGCTGAATGAGAAATCGAAGATGTAAAAATGATTAATTTGGTGAACCTTGCTTCAATTTGTTGAATTTTAAAGATTGCTTTCGTTGTAGTTCTAAAGAAAGTTCAGATGATCCAACATTCCTTTTCGACGCTGTTGCTGCCACCGAAGTGTTCGGGGTTGTTTCTCTCCTTTATGACACTCTTCAAATGTCACCTAATCATAGACCAAGTGATTGTCATGATAACTTGGATGTAATTCTTCATAAACTTCAATCTAGCAACGGCCTAGCTGATATCGTGCTGAGCGCTCTCAAGTTAATCAATCATATAGCTTCGGTTCATTTGTCGAAAATTCAGGTAATTATTAACGTTAATCATATCAGACTAAAACTATTTATTCGTTTGGTGTTGGGGACTGTTCTTGTGCTATTTTAGGAAGTTGTTTGCAACGACAGCACCTCTATTCAAATTCGTCACATTTTGAGTCTCCTTTTTTCTGTTTGTGCCCCGAGTGAAGAGGATGCCAAACCAGTGAAGGATATTTCAGCTCCGGTCTTAGCAACAGTTACTAAAGCAGCACCCTCAGCTACCAGTGGGGGTTGTTTAGCTGGAAAAAGACGTCGACAGGGTTCTGCTCTTATTCCCAGTGGTGCGAAGGAAGTTGGAGTTAAGGTTATTCAAAAAGCCGACCTTGCATCCAACTTCTCATCTTCTGCTTCATCAGAATATAAAAATTCACTGAAGAGCCTAAGGTACGAACATGAAAAGTCTACTATATCAGTGCCACACAACTCTATAGAAATCGCAGTATAATAATGATGTAACTTTGTGTTATTTTTGGTCCACCGGTATGATTTAAGTGTTGAACACACGTGCATACTGCCTTTATCCGTTTCAGTGGGCGTTCAATGATGGTCGAGATCCTGCATGAGGCTATCGTGTGTTTGGGCTATCTCACTTTGGGCCACTTTGAAAACCAGACTCGACTATGTGTTAGTGGCCAGACCTCTACACCCCTGCTCTTACAACTCTGTCAGCTCCCTCTAAGCTACTTCTCTCAACCCCAATTAGCTGATATTCTCTTCCCCACTCTTATCGCTTCCTGTTTCGCCACCAAAGACATTGGTTCAACCAACAGAAACACAAATGTAGCTCTCCTATCCTCCCATCTGAATCCTGCTTTGCTAGCGAATTTCGTTGAAGCGCGAAGCTTGGAGAAAACCCTAGCCACGCCAACTGATGACAAACCGACGTCCAGCCATAGTAAGTTCAGGATGGAATCGAACCCGAACGCTTTCTATCAAAACTAAGCAAAAATCTTTCCTTTACAGACAATAATAACGATGACTATCATCGATTTGAAAACCGATTTCCACCTTCTTTGTGGCAAGCAGCGAAGAGTTTTTTTGCGGAGGCCAGAAATCATATCTCAAAATCAAATTCACCAACAACCATCAAAACCGAAACAGAAGAATAGTAGTATGACTGTTATTTCATCGTCAATTTTTTTTCATTTTAATTCATTAAAGCACAAAAATTTGGCTATAGAAAACGGTTTTTCCTTTCCTCCCCTCCTTTTTTGTGGCTTTATTTTAGCCATGGGCTTCACCTTTCTGTCCAGCAACCTACAAATGAATGCAATCTATCAAATACTACTGAAATGGCGTCTTAATAGTTGTGAGTAGGTAAGATAAAGCATACCCGTTTGAAATCGTTCATATTGGTTACGTTGTTAACGGGACAACCGTAAAGAATAAGATTAGTAATACGGGTCTGTTCGACGCCCTTTTGGTTATCTTGGACGAAAATCTTAAATGAAAAAGAAGGCATAATAGAAATTATCAGTACGGAAACCTTGGTCAATGTCATTAAAAGAGTGCTTACAGTAACACTATTAACATTCTGAAACTTCACAAATTTCAGTTGAATTAACGAAGATGCGTGAAGATTTTCAGGAGCAAGACTAAAAGAAAAATCGAGTCTTGAATTGAGATTGTCGATTTTAATAGATTTTAGCAGGTATGAATAGTGGAAGTAAAACCAAAATAAGAGATTATAAAAAAATCAAAAGAATGTAGACTTCCAATCCTAGAAACCTGACGTCCGGTACGCTTAAACCATAGAACCTTCAACTCTGAACAAGCTTCGAATGCGTAGCATCCTATCGGACGCGAATCCTGGCTCATTTATACTCTTTCTTAGCAATCAGATGATGATTTGCAATTGGTTATGGATCGGAGTTACAAAGAAGATAATTAAAATCCGTGCATGGGAATCCGGCAACCTTAGCACAGCCGAAGTTCCACCCCACTTTGTACTGGCATCAATCCACTATTCTCCTCTGTCCTAATTCCCTAATTGATTATGGAGGTTATACTAATTTGGAATACCATTGTTTCCATTTAGACTTTTCAAAGATCATTAGCTTTGCAAATAGAAATCCATAAGATTTAGTTGGCTCTAGATCTAATTTACTTCAAACTCCAACCAATAACCACGAATATACAGGTAGCAAAAGTTCTTCAGGTTTATAGTTTTCCACCTTATCTTTCCTCTCCTTCGAAGAAGTAATATTGGAGGCCATCTAACTTACACAAACGGTTACATTTAACTTCGATATAATGAAATCAACAAAATTCGAACAGCATACTGCGTATAACTTCACATCTCATGAATAATTAAACGATGGTAGGCTGTGAGGAAATGTGATAAACGGAATATCCTTAACTCTACAACTACATTTGTTTACAAGTTAACCCGATTTCAGCTCAACAAGAATCAATCCCAAATTAAATTTATCTCATGTGCAACCATGAGCATCATGAAAAGAATACTAAACAATTTCAGCAAATCCAATAAACAAAGGACTCACGTAAAAGCTTGGACAGCTTCTGCCGCTTCACAAGCATCAAAATCAGGAGTGGCAAGTTGGTTGGTGAAAATTTTGATATTTTTGGGTCCAGAGTCTGCGAAAATTTGAAAAAAAATAATTAACTAACCCTACGCTGGACTAAAGTTTAGGACGTCATATAACAAGAAAATGTCACCTAGGTGCTATGATCAATTTACAAGTAAACATGACTCCACGCAACGAGAAAAAGGGGGAATAGGTTATAGTTAAGACGAAATAAGTAAGCCACTTTAGTTAGAAATGACCTCAGAGCTTCGGTTAAATTAGCTTTTTCAAGGAAGAGCGATAACGTTCGAAAAGAAATTACAGCACTACGAGTGCTAAGAAGTTATGAGTTTAGATTTCGCGAATGACAAATATGCAAAAGCAAATCTTTTCAAAAGGTAGACGATCTTAGCGAATATAGCAATACTTAAACTATATAAATAATAAAAATAAAATAATGAGCACTTTCAGGAAACTCGAACCAACCTTCTGGAGCTGTGATACGAAGAGAGTGGAGTTTTACCACTTGATTGAAGGTAAGAAATAGTATGAGCTGTAATAACAAATGTAAATAACTCATAGACGGAAACCGAGCAAAGAACACAATTAATTCCAAAATATACCTGTTCATCAGCATCTGACATGAGGTACGTCATATCCTTAGTTAGCGCACATTCGAGACCATGATCACTGTGGCAGTTAAGACATTCACACTTTGAGATATCTAGCATATTGGAAAGATCGATCTAAAAATTCGAAACTCAATAAATAAACACCAATATTACGAGTCCAGGCATGGGTGATACTGAAGGAACAAAACTCGATGAAATAGGCGAAGAATTTGCAGAAAATGAGGACTTAAGAAATTCTTGTAGACGGCTTTTTAGATCGTCCGAACTTGGTTTCGGTAGAACAACCAAAGGCTTGCCGTGGCGCACAAAAATTAATGTAGGGATTTGAACAACTCCATAGCTAGCAACGGTTTCCTATTCGACATAAAAAAATAAAAAGAAAGTTACAAAAATTTACAAAAAAATGTTCCAAACACTTACTGGACATGTATCAACATCTACTTTGATGATAGAGACAGAAGGATAATTCTTACTCAAATCAATTAAATGAGAATCAAAGTCCGTACAAGCTTTACACCAACTTGCATAGAAATCTAGAATGAAAAGCTTTTGTGGATCTTCGTGAGATTTTTTAATCTCATCACTGAAATCAGTATCAGAAGAAGTCAATCTGATACTCATTTTCCGAAGTCAACAATGCAGAATTTTATGCTCCTAACCAAATAAATGTTAACCTGTGGATTTATTGGCTGGTTTAAAAATGTGCACATCATGCAATCAACTAAGAGGTTATTGGGGTTAAATTACTATGAATAAATTTTAAAATGAATATTTTTTTATAACGCATGAACCTCCTAGTAAATTAAATATCCTTGGCTATTAAAAACACTAAGACACTAATATGGATCTGGTGGCTTCGATAATTAAAAATGCAAGCATCGAGAGGTTTAGCTCTTCATTGTAAAATGAGATGGTTATAAATAATATTCATAATTTTATTTAAACTCACATGTGAATAAATATTTTAAACTTTCATTTGCATCATATGCTTTGTCAATGTTAAAATTATAAAATAAGATTCTATGAAAGCAATGCGCATTTAAGTATTATATGCTTTTAAGACCAATATATTGAGATTTGAGTCACTTTGAAAGATCAAATGTTTAAAATTTGACAAATAGAGAAACATTTTTTTCTTCTTCATCCAGTTCCTTTTCAATTTTCACAACATCAGACATTTCCTCGTCAATTCTTTGTGTTTTTTTATGGATCTCAACAAAACATGCTTCATTTCAAAAATTATTCAGACTTAGTCCTCTACTTATTGTAATCTATATATGCTGCTTAAAGAGCCTCCATTGATCAATAAATCTTAGGAAGGTTAAATGTTTTTAACACAAAAATTAAATCTAATATTTGTTATATTTTTAGAAAGAAGAGTTAAGTACATTAATTATTAAATTTTGTTTTAAGCTTTTAAGATTGGCTATATCAAGGACGTAGATTTTTTAAACGCCATGAATATCGCGTTTTGTGCAATGTGACTAAATTTTGTCACATTTTCGGGCCTTTAAATATTTGCATTTGTACTAAATCAAGTATTGCTTTTGTATCAACTAGATGGCGCATCGTTCTTGCGCCGTATCTCAGCTCTTCCAATCAGCCTTTTCACCTGTCCTTTCCCTCCGGCAACTTCGTTTATTTTTTATTATCCTTCTTTTCCTCTCCATACTCTCCACCGCTTTGTCAACTGTTCATCTTCTCAATGCACTGGCTCTCAGTCAAAAACCGTTTCTTTATTTTAGTTCTTTCGTGTCTTGTATGGTTGGATTCATTCAATGCCGAAGAAAGCATCTTGAAATTGAATTGTGCCGTGCACATACTGCTAAACGACTTCGTCAAGCAACTCTTTGTGCCTCAATTGCTATCACACTCTTTACTTTGGCTGCTTTACCAACTCCTTCTTTAGCTAATACGTTGGAATCCGATCTTACTCGGATTGATATGTGGCTCCTTCTTGCTCTGACTCTATGTGTTCAGGTCTGTATCCCCAGTGGTCGAGCTCGACATCTTGTTTGTGGGATTATTGCACTGGCACATACTATTATGGTAATTGTCACAAGATTCACATCGGAGAGGATTTCTTCAGCTAACAGTGATTGTCTCGTTTGCTGGAACTCCAAAGAAGTTCGCTTCTGGAGAGAGGTACTTAATTATAGAAGTATTTTCTTGCATATTGCTTAATATTTACGTAAAAAGAAAGTTAATAATCACCTTTTAAACACATTTTAAGTAAAAGCGTAATTGTCTCTCATTTAAACGACTTGTCCTTTAATTACGTATAGTACCAATGTGATTCACTCTTTTTTTCTTAGAAGATTCTCAAAATATTTTATGTTAATGGCGTTTTCTTGTATTTTTATATCTTTGGTTCATCTTTCATGCTATCTTTTATTACTATATCTTCAATTAATTTTACAAAATATTTTTGTTTATCCGGATATTTTTACTATGTGGACCACTATATTTATACCGTTTCAAGATTTTAAAAGATGCAACAATACACTTTCTAAATTAATAGCGTCTTACTTTGTCTGTGGATTGATATTAACCATAATGGTGCTTGTAAATGTCCTTTGGTCCTATTTTCGATATACGTATTGGGTTATGTAAATTCAAGAACATGTGTTGTGATTTTCCTTCGCCCCCAAATATTCGTTAATATTGGCTAAATAACCTCTTGAAAATCTCCATTGAGTTATATTTTTTCTTGAACTGAATTTGACAGAGATTGAAGATGGTGTTTGGAAATTTATTTATAACAAATGCCAGTCGTTTTGATAGTTATCATTGGCCCTCATAGTAAGCGTTTTGATGGTTATCATTAGCCCTTTATTTGACTTCTGGTGGCTTCACAGAGGGGAGGAACATCAAAGTGAGAAAAATTCAAGAGGGGGAACTCACAGATGAGGGAGGAACATCAAAGTGAGAAGAATTCGGGAGGGGGGAAAAGAAGAGTGATTCACAGATGGAGGAACATCAAAGTGAGAAGAATTCAGGAGGAGGAATAGCAGATCAAAGTGAGAAGAATTCGGGAGAGGGAATAGAAGAATGATTCACAGATGTAAAAGAAACAGACGTACACAAAGGCTCAGAAAGGATAAAATAAGCACTGTTATAGGGGACGAATATGACATACAGTGGGGGGTGATGATTGTTTGAAGTGAGACGTCAACTGCCGGTTAATAGACTTTTTTTGCCGTATGATTATACGTTATCCAGGGTGCACCGCGAGGAGGTAAGTCTATCCCACACTCCATGTTTTTGAAATTAAAATTTGCATTTTCAACAGATAACCGTTCTGTTCCTCATTGTACTTAATTTTGGTATGAAACCGAGTTATTAGCTTTAACAAGTCCTGATTTTAGTCGAATTTTAATTTATTTTTGTTCCATTGAGTATTGAATTTTGTAGCTTTGTGTTTCGTAGCCACCCATTTTCTCCTTAAACCTCACATGTTACTTTCAATGCCCTTTACTTTTCGCTTAATTCGAATTGTTACCCTTTTAAAATGGCATATACTTTTATGTTAGTAATTACTAACTTGAGGTCTAAGCTGGAAAATTTTACAATGAATGGCTCTTTTGTGGTACATTTTGTTAACTTCAACGGGACGAAAATATTTGGGCTTTCATATGTAGCGGATTGCTACGCTAGTAAAGCCTGACTGACTCAGAAATCTCTGTGGCAGACTCCCCAACATCCAGCTAGACTCCCAGAACCAGCTAAGCCATAGCCCAGCTATAAAAGAAACTGACGTATGGCACGGAACACTCTTATTCAGTAGGGTTTTTGTGGGTAAGTGTACTCGCATGGAGCTACTCATGATCAGGATGGCGGTTTAGGTTAAACAAACGGAGGCTACTGATTGGCCACTGTTTGTACGGTTGCTGTACACAGAGTTGTACGGCCACACCTCCCAATCCTGGCGTGCAGACATGCGATGACGCACAAAGCGATAACGCGTCCCACATATGACTTCCATGAACTGTTACTTGATTTGCATCCGCTCCAGTAACAAAGTTAGCAATTTCATTTTAATAATTAAAACTATAAATTTGGAAAATTCACCACGAGTGCGAAAATATTGATTTCTCGATTTCCTCATTTGCACTTCCTATTTTTGTAGCCATATAAGCTTCATGTATTGATTTCCTAAAAAAGTGCCCTTGAAGGTACACCATTATCTGATTTTTTTAAATTTCGAGTCTGATTTTCTGGGAGTTAATTTTCAATCCAATCATTGGTTTCATTAAATAAATTTAAGCTGGCATTACTCGGCCTGACAAAAGTGCCACCGAAACGTTAATTTTGGTCGAAATTAAGGCTTTGTTGTGTTTCACTTTCTAGTTTTAGGTCATGATTACCTGCCATCAAAGCCTGCACAGCCTAGAGGTGAATTTCATGCCTTTGAATGTCTTAGAGCATAAAGGTTTTAATAATAGGGTTAAGGCCTCAACGAAGTCACTATGACCATCCATGTATTAATATGGAAGCAAACTTTCCCTTTCGTCTCTGCAATTTTTTTTCTGGAGGCTATGCTTTCTCTGTTAAACTCTTATTAGCAAGTTAGCTAAGTAAATTTGCGCTCCCAATTTCTTTTGGTTTCTAGGTACCTCTTCTGTTATTCGGTTGGGTTGGCTCGAAATCGCTTGCAAAATTTATCATTTTATAAATATATGTTTTTCGATATTTCTACTAGAAAGTCGAATTGATTAGTTTCATTGTATTCTCGTGCATTATATTATCGATTTGATTGGATTACCACGCTGTCATTCGGAAATGTAATCGATTGTGGTGAAGCCCCTTTGCAGTAATTATTGTCTAACCAGACAGCCAACCATCCATCAAATATTTCAAAACCATATAACTCAACTTATTTTGTCTGTTAGGTTATAAGTAGTAGCTGCAGCTTCAATAAAGGCCACTTGAGAAGGTAAAAAAGTTTCGATGCTCTTCTGATTAACTGATGATATCAGTACTTAGATTCCCCTGTGAGAAAATTAGTCTTTATCACAAATATTTTAACTTTTGAATTATGATTACCTCGAATGACCATTAAAGCTAATTAGGGTCGGGGAGATTCCCCTCTTTCTAGCTTAATTGTATTGCTCTTACTGTGTAGGAAATGAGGCTCTATCAATTCCAGAACATTTTCAGATCTCAAAATCGATTTTCTGTTGACCATTATGGATTACTCACGAATGGTAACAAGTGGTTATTGAAATGAGGAGCTTTTTCTTTAACCGAATTAAATACTTGACCGAATAAGTTGACTTTTAATAAGAGAAAATGCTTATAGTTTAAAGATTACGTCAATGTTCCAACAGGTCTGGTTCGCGTCATGCAGTAACTATTCGATTTTTTGAAATTCTCCATAATTATCTCGAGGAAAAGTCATTTCTTGATGTATTGTGTTGTTTTCTTCCATATATTCATGTCAAGTGTTAATAATGCCTGTTTTTCTCTTATTTGGGATACGTCTGTTCATTTGTAGTTTCCGTTCTTTTTTTAAAAAAAATCGACAATAATTGTGAGAAAATATTAATTTTTTGATCGAATCGCTTCTCTTTCAATGTGTTGAAAGGAAGTCGGTTTAAGACTTTTTTAATTTCCAAAAAAGCCTCTGAAGTAGTAATCACAACTTAAGTTTAAAGCATTGCACCCTTCTCTGTATTTTTCTCAATTCCCTTGAATAGGGAAACGGCATTTTAGAGACATGAAGGATAGGTTAAATCCAAGTTTTCTTTAAACTTTTGGTTAGTCCACATTCGGCATTTCTTCGAGTGAGTGTCCTTTATAGTTCCCATTGAGACCTACTGATCCAAAATATGCTCCAGGACAAGGGAATTCTTCATTATTTCACTCTTGCTACAGGAGATTTCAAGATATACTTCTAAGCTGGCTCTTCACGCACCCTAGCGCAAGACTAAGATCAGCCTTTTTGTTGTGTTTTCGAGATCTGATTCTATCAAACAGCCCTAGCACCATTAATGAAAATCTGCCATAGGTTTGATATTTATTTGATTCGCTTTATCTCTTCTACCTGATGTCCACCAATGCATCTTGAACATCATTTGCCCCGAAAATTACATTTACAGTCTGCAGGATGGATAGAATAATTCTGAATTCAATACAATTACTAATTAGACAAGTGTCTTCTTATCTCAAATCTCTGAAATGCTTTGTCTAATTCACTCTCCATTTCAGCATGATTTGATCATGCTGATTTGCAAAGTGGTTTTGTATCCAAGATGTTTCCAGACGGAGGTTATTCAATTACACATTAACTGCTGCGAATATTCGAGTTTAGGTCATCACATCACCATAATATATTTATTTTTATATCAAATGGCAGGCGTTTTGATGGTTATCATTAGCCCTTTCGTTGACTTCAAGCTTCACAGAGGAGAAGGAACATCAAAGTGACAAAAAGTCAAGAATGGGGAGGGGGTGAAGGGAACAGAAGAGTGTTCCAATGATGTAAGACAGACATAAAGACAGGAAAGAGGTAAGATGAGTACTGTGGAAGTGGTGATGGTGGTAGTTTGAAGTCAGGAGTCAACTGCCGGTTGATAGACTTTTTTGTCGTATGAGTATACGTTGGCCAGGGTGCACCACGTGAAGGTAAGTCTATCGCACACCCCCACATCACCATAACACATTCTACTATTTGCAGTTTAATTGACTTCTGTATTTTTTACTTAGATTGCCTCGAACCTGGTGGCTTTCACAATAAGCAGCCTTATTGGGTGGCATTTATCCTGTCAGAATAATAACGAGCGTTGGCGTTGTCTTTGTGTTGCCCTTCATGCCTCTCACCGACGGTCTACTTTGCGATCTATACAAAAGAAGCTTGTATGTTCACTAATTGACGCATTTTCCATTCCTCCTGTTAATTTGCTCATTTAAGTAAATATTACTTTTATTCCCTTCTCAGAGTCGCGTTTCACAATCAATTGTTCCTCCAGCCTTGGTCACAGACCTCGAGCACGATTTCTCATCTACTCCCTGTTTATGGTCTTCCCCATTGGTTATCTATCTGCGAAATGTCAGGTAAAAGCAATTTCTATTTGTAAATCTGGAGATTAATTATTACAAAAATATTACATATTATTTCAGCTTTCTGAGTGCGGAACTGGTTGGATTCTGCACATCAAATGGAACAAGTGGAAATAATGATATGGGTAGTATGTCACCGATGATTTCCAATGTTGGCATTCAAGAATTGGAGCGTTATCCGCAACCGGCTTCACGACACGTCGTGGCCTTCATTAACTATCTCATTATCCACATCAAGTCTCTTTGTGTGGTATATAATGAAGGCCTTCTATTGGTTTATTATCTTGCCTCTTGTAGAAGCTCTACCTGATGTATTTCATTTCAGAGTCATGGTTGCTATGCCGTTCATATTAGACCAGGAGAGATCCTTTGTATCGCCGGCTACCCTGAGGTTCGTGTTGATCACGCCAACTCTTGTGTTCAGTTAGCTCTGGCTATTAACCGCCTTCTAAGGTAATTGTCTATGCCTTTGGGTGATTGCATCTTTGTAGTACCGTCTACTCTCCCTCTTTTCTATTTGCATATTTAATCCTCCAGTTGTAATAGGCAGAAGCTTCAGGTTAAATAAATTCTCTCCACGACAGCTCATCTAGACGCTTAATCTTTCAGGTGTGGTTAGCGAAGTTATTTACTACTCAGCTATTTAAGAGATTGGGGCATCCGAATACTTGTTGTGCAAGCAGTTTATATGCTTTAAGTGCACTGATGCAAACGGCGCACTAAATAGTTCTTTCCCTCTTTTGAATCTTTTTTTCTTTTCTCCTGTTTCGTAGTGCTAGAAGGGGTTCTTCATTATAAAAGGAAGGAAGTAACATTTTAAGGTAATTGGGTAGAATTTTAGTTCCTCTGATTTACAATGGGGTGATCGTTGGTTAATTCCAAAAGCAAAATTTCTGAAATAGAGTTTGCATTGGCTCCTAAATTTTCGATGCAGCGTCATGAATAGGCAATAATTTATTTTAGCCTCTCCTTGAACGAAATATATTTCTACTCATAAATTTGGAGTGTTTTAATTCGTCCGTTTTTTTGTTGACGAGGAATTAAGACATTTTATTTCACTCACTATGATTATTTTTGTTGCTTTTAGAATGTGAAGCATTTCTTATTCCCATCGAGTGACATTGTGAAATCCGATTACATATTCGAGCTGTCACCTAACATGGCTTGTAATCAAAGTCGGAGGTTATCGGTGCAAATTCATGAAATAGTAAAGTAACTCAGTAAGGAGTGAAACGTGCTGTTAGAAGGGAGTATATGCCAATATCAGGCTGCAAAAAGTCCCACCCAATTCGCATTCTGGAGGCCTAATGATTTCCACCTCATTTCACTTTCATGTACCAAGTTTGCGGTGCCCGACTATTTCACAACACCCCACTATCTATGTTTGACCCCAAGGTTTTTTTGCGAGTTCATGTCCACGCTATTGCAGCGTTTTTTCCCATTTGTGTCTTTCGCAGCTATGAATGTCGAAACCAACCGCTAGTTAACATTGACCATGGGAATATTCTGGCTTGATCAAGATAAGTGCTATAAAATGCCTCATTTTTATTATTTGTGTAATTGAATAGCCCTTACTTTGCCTTCCCTGGACTATTCGATAATAAGCTGTCTGCATACTTATTTCAATCACAACGTCATCCAGTCTTTTGTAAACAAGAATGCTATTCAGAAGCTACTTGAATCTTCTCTCGAATTTCAGTAGTTAAAGAAGAGTGGCTGGTCGGAGTTTTTTCTTTTCTTTGGACGCGTATCATTCACAAAAATGTCGCAATTTAGTTATTTCTAATTTTTTCCTGAATAAGTCATTTAATAGTTAATCATCTTTACATTAAACATAATTGCTATCCATTTTCAATGTTTATATCTTTCCCAGTTATGGTTTAACTGAATCACCTCTATGTGAATAATTAATCTGATCAGAATAAATCAAAATTTGACTGGTTTAAAACCGAACAAGTCCGGTAGACACTTCTTACAGTTTCTCAATTTCCCACGCCAAATTCCCATTTGAATACTACCTTAAATATCTTATCTACCTTTTATTTAATTTCATATTTCGTGTTTTTTGGTTTCAGCCAATCATTGAGGTGTGAATTACACGGCTTTCCTTTGACTGGTTACTTCGAATCTCTTAATTGATTATTTCACATTCACTTGTTTTTGTGTCTCGTGACTCACTCCTCGAATTTCCTTTTATTTGGCTGCTCTCATTTTCCATGACAAGAAATAAAAACCAAAAAAAGCAATCAGGAGAAGGTTAGATGAGTTAAATCCTGGATTCCTCTACTTTTCTACTTTTCAAATATTAAAATGCTAATCAGTGTAACTTCATTTTATAGAAATTGTATCATTACTGCCTTTCAAGAATGTTTCTCCGCTTATATCTACTCTGAAACACAGATTTACGTAGTTCGTCCATATTTGTGCTCTCTTTTTAAAGTAATTTAACGAAATTAAAAAAGGTCTTAATTGCACTCGTAAATCCTAAAGAAATTCTTTCTTTTGATCTAACAGCACCTTATTGTAAAGCCCTCGAAAAAACATGTACATGAGCATAGAGGAATCCTGATTTTAATGTTATAAATGGATTTTATTCCATTTTCTTCAGATCCATTTCAAATGCGGCGCACGTCCATTTGGAAGCTCGAATAGCTATTCACACAGGAGAGGCTTATGCCGCAGTTTTGGGTCAGTCTATGCTCACCTTCGACCTATTGGGTGCTGACGTCTTTCATCTTCGTCGTCAATTACGCGCAGCTGCCAAACCGGGGTATGTATTTTGCAACCATTTGCTTTCTTCGACAATTTGCAAGACCTACGCCATCTTTGACCATTTTACTATTTTATTTGATCAGAGTGTATTTGTTTATTTATTTGTATCAAATGGTAGGCGTTTTGATAGTTATCATTAGCATTTTAGTTGACTTCGGGCTTCACAGAGGGGAGGAGGAACATTAAAATGAGTAGAATTGGGGAGGGAGAACAGAAGAGTCATTCACAGGTGTAAAAGAAACAGACAGACACCAAGGCTCAGAAAGGGTAAGATGAGTACTGTGGTAGGGGTCGAATATGACATACAGTGGGGTGATGGTAGTTTGAAGTGAGAAGTCAACTACCGGTTAATTGACTTTTTTGCCTTATGATTATACGTTGCCCAGGGTGCACCACGAGGAGGTAAGTC